GAGCCCAGAATCCTGTTTACTCTGTTCCTACAAGTACAAAAGAAGCAAAAACATCACTCGTTTCTTAACCTTTTCCTGAGTCCCTAATATGTGCTGAGGGCTGGAGAATAAAAGATACCTGAAACACTAAAATCAGGAAAATCGCCGTATTTATGATTTTGTCTGTACGTTACACATTTTAAAATAAGGTCTGGCATTTAGAGATGAGCATGTGCAGCAGAGTTAAACTTAGGAAGGAGAAAGACTCAGTGATGCTATGGGATACCCCGCCTCCAGCTTGAATTAGACTGTGAATTTTCTCACTACACACTTGAACTTGGCTTTACAAACCTGACATTTAAATGCCTGAATCTACCATGAATGTAAAGTGAGTGGCTGCCTATTCTGTTTAACAACCAGTTCCTGAGTACTCACCGCATGCCAGGCCCTGTTCTAGGCGCGGGAGATGGAGAAGTGGAAGATAAAGTTTTCCATCAGGGTTTGCCCTTGTGCTGGGGACCAGGCTGGTTATGGGGAAGCCGGCTGGGGGAGCACTCCGCGTGGCACTCTGTGGCCTGGGACTAGGCATTTACTTCCCCAAGCTACAAAGAGGCTCATCAGGACCTGGGGGAGGGCCTCCTTAGTCAGCCTGAGCACTAATCCTACACCCACAACAAGCCTCCACCACGTCCTCCTGGCTCGGCATAGGCTACAGAAACCACAGTGTGCCTAATTAGAGGTCAAAGCTGTAACAACAGCAAGGCAGGCACTGCGGGTTTTTAAAAAATATAATAATAGCTCATTTGATTCCCACAACACTATGATAGAGATACTACTACAATCTCCATTTTATAGATGAGGAAACTGAGGCACAGAGAAGTTAGGCGACTTGTCCAAAGACACCTAGCTAGAAGTGGGAGAGACAGGGCTGGAAATAAGACTGTCACTGCCTCCTGCTGTGGCAGCCCGGGCCCCAGCCAGAGGGACAAGGGAAGTCGCCGAGAGGCCAGGATGTGGAAAGGACAGGGTCTTTTTTAAATGATACCCTTTTTTAAGAGTGCAGTCAGTTTACAATGTTGTGTTAATTTCTCGTGTACAGCATCGTGACTCAGTTACACATATGTATATTCCTTTTCCTATTCTTTTTCATTATAGGCTATTACATGATATTGAATGTAGTTCCCTGTGCTGTACAGCAGGACCTTGTTGTTTATCTATTTTATAGATAGTAGCTGGTATGGGGAGAAGCAGCTGGCTGCCCTGCCCTGTGGAGGGAAGATGGGGGTGGGGGTTACAGCAGTCACGTGAGCAGTGATGTCATTGAGATCATAAGCCTAGAAGTGTCCCTAAAAGAGTCGTTTAGAAAAACCAAGCAGATGTCAAAAATCCTGCGAGGCACCAGGAGGTACAGACTGCTAGCGCAAGGGTGAAACAGGTCTAAGGGAAGACCCAGTCCTGCTGATTTCAGTCTGTGTACATTGTAAAACACCTTCAATCTGTTTGTCCCACAACCACCATCGCAGCTTCACTTGATCCCAGTTCTCTGACTGTTGCCTTTTCAACCTATTTGCTAGCCAAGACCCTGCCCCTCTCAGAACCATCTGCAACCCTGAGCTTGAGTTCCCCAAATGACTGCCCCCTTGCAGGCTGGACACCTGTAGTTGTCTCAGTGATGCCCCCCCCAAAGACGTCCAAATCTAACCCTTAGAATCTGTGAATATGCATCTGAGTGGCCCTGAAATCTGATGACAAGTGCCCTTATAAGAGACACAGAGAGGAGGGGAGGGGACAGTGACTACAGGGACAGAAATTGGAGTGATGCAGCCATTAGTCAAGTACCGCCTGGGGCCACCAGAAGCTGGCAGAGGCAGGAACAGATTCTTGACTACAGCCCCTGCAAAGAGTGTGGCCTGGCTGACACCTTGATCTCGGATTCTGGCCTCCAGAGCTGTGAGACAATACACTTCTGTTGTTTGAAGCCCCCCATGTTGAGGGAGTTTGTTACGGCAGCCCCGAGAGACTGATGTCTGCCTGCACATCCCGTCCGGACCTGGGAGGCCTTCCTCCCTGCGTGTGTTGCCCGCTCTGCCCCCTGGGGACCCCCTGTGGATTTCACACTTTAACCACAGTCTCCTGTCCTCTCCCCTCCGCAGTGGAAGTGGCTGCTTCCTCCAGTGGACCCTCTGCTCTGCCCAAAGACTTGTCATTTCATCTTCCTCATCCATCAGCTGCTGGTGGGCTGGCTGTGTGTCCTATTCATTGCATGGCCTGTGTGTGCTTTTCCCAGGGTCTGGTGTGGCCTGAGAACCCACAAAAACACCCACACGGAACAAAGCTGCAAAGTCCCAGTGACCAGCACCAGTGAAAACCAGGACAGTGTGAAAAGGACGCAAGCGGCACGGTGACTGTCTGCTGCCGTCTCCGGGACAACTGTGGGCTTTCTTGTCTGTGTGCTTCTCGGCTGATGAAGACTTTGAAGGGGAACAGTGTCCACACAGGGTCCAGGAGGCCCACTCTGCAGCTCCTGGTGTGGGGTTGTGACTGTAGTCTGTGTGTGTGTGTGTGTGTGTGTGTGTGTGTGTGTGTGTGTGTGTGTGTGTGTGTGTGTGTGTGTGTGTGTGTGTGTGTGTGTTGGAGTCTGTAAAACACTGGCACCTAGGATGGGGACAAAGCTATCCGCTCCCTGAAGCCCATGTCTCTCCTCATCTGTGAGCTTAGTCTGGCCAGGGATGAAGCTAGGCCAGCACCGGGGGTGGGGGTGCTAGCTGCTCCTCCTCACCTGCTGTGGGAGGAACCTGGATCACACACAGATGCCTCATCAGTCCCCGTCCTCTGTTCCAAGGGCCTTTGCCAGAAGGATGATGAGGCCAAGCCCCAGGGCCGGTGGCAGTGGCCAATGCCTGGGACACCTGCCCTCCCTGGGCCAAGAGCCTGGGACCCACCAGGCTGCCCTGTGGTCAAAGGCCCACTTGGACCCTGCTGGGGACCTGGGGCCAGTTAAGAGGAATCCACGTACCTCATCTGTGTAAGGAGGGGGGATAGGTTCCTGGGGAATTTGAAATCCGGGCCCCCAGGGCCAGGTTCCCAGGCTGGGCTGGCAGGGGCTGTTCCTGGTCTCTAGGAATATTCCTAGGGCTTGTGGGGGGTGGCGGTTTCTGGGGGGGGTCTCTCATGGTTCTCACGTGGCTGATGGAAAACACTGGGTCTCAGGTCATCAGCCAAGCAAAGCAGAACTACACAAAGGATGTTAAAGTAAGACCCTGGAGGACACTTACTCGTGCCCTGGCAGGGCCCCAGCAGGACTTAGGGGCCTGGGGAGGTTCCCTTTCCCCAGCAGCAGCCTTCCTCTGGCTCCTGGTCTTGTGCCCGCACCCCCGCAGTTTTCCCCCTGGGGGTCCTGTGGGCAGGGCTGGCTGGAAGTCTGTAAAATGGGGCCCTAATCTGGGCAGCTGCGACAGTGGCCCCGCTGAGGGGAGAGAGCGCAGAGGATCAGGTTAGAAACTCCCTCTTCGTCCCAGGCCTCCCGTTCTCTGCGCCCTGGATACTCCAGCCGACTGGACCAGAGAAACCCTCCAACAGGGCACTCGGAGCCCTCTCTTTGCCCTGAATATCTTCGCTTCAGATACCCTGGGCGAACCCCTCAAACCCGGACACCATCCCAGCTCTGGAGAGCGCTCCCCCCAACATCCTGCGCCACCAATCTTTCCCCTCCATTCCCACCCGAGCCTCCTTTCAATAGGGACACGCCCTCTTTTTGTAGCCCTCTCCCCAACCCAGGCAAGCTCCGCTCTGGTCTCTGCCACCGCCCACCGCCTCCTGGAACCCTCCCCCTAGGACCTTTCACTGTTCGTCTGGACTCCCAGATCGGCTCGGCTGTCAGCGGGTGACCTTTTCCCCCACTTTTGGGGACAGCTCCATTCCTAGGATCTACGCCCCAACCCCCGCACCCCTTTCTCGCTTCGAATCGCCTTGCGCCCGGGCCGCCGCCGCCGCCCCAGGGTTGCATAGCCCGCACCCCTCTTTCCCCGTCCCAGCCTCCAGCCCTGGGGAACCCTCCCGCCGCTCCGAGCCTCCCCTCCGGAGCGCGAACCCACCCCGCTCCTAGCAGCGCCCCCATCCGCAGGTT